TAAAAGATCTATTTGAAGGTCCATGCAATGGGGGGAAGCAAAATAATGTGCTTAAGAAATACTTCCAAATACCCAAGAAAGAAATACCCATGATTGAAATTTGTTCTTCCCAAATGAAATTCAGCTTTCAGAAGATACCATTTGGAACCAAGAGGTTGCTTGTCAATGACAGATGGAGTTCTTAGAGAGAAATCTAATACTACTGTTGCTCTCTCTGAGGGCCTACTGCAAAGGTGCCTATTTTATTCTAATGCTTTTTATAGGGGGGAAAAACCCAAAGTTCTTAGGCTTAATAACAATGCTAGACAAGATATGTTAGCTCATAAACATGTTGTTGACTTTTAGGAAAAAGTGGCTATGGATTTCTTCCATTGTCAGCAATAGGAGAGAATTAAATCTGCCAACTCCTAAATTTGCATATCTTTGGACCTATATTGTAGAGTAGAGGTGGGGAATTGTGGCCTTTTTATGACTTGTGGATTTCAACTCCCAAAATTCTTGAGCCAGCATAGCTGCCTCTGTCCCAGAGACTTGTGGACTCCCAGAGATTTTTGGACTGCTGTGAACTGTGGACAGCCATAATTCCCCAACCATTTCCAGAGAGTTGTGGACTTCAACTCCCAGAATTCCCGAGCCAGCATAAGGGCCATAATTCCACACCCCTTTTGTTCCTTTTGTAGAGGAACAAAAGTATCTGGAATCAAACGGATCTAAGGCATTTTCCTGCCACACCATTTCCCCACTTTTCATCATCTTAGCATCAGTAACAAAATGGGATGATGGTGAGGTATCTACAGAGACTAGGTTTCTGAGAGTGGGTTTCCTTTTATATTCATGGACTTCTCCCTACTCATAAAGAGATTTATAAGATCCAGGAGCCATTTCCTTGTGATCACTGAAATTTAGTAGTAAAAGAAGATCAAAAAGAAGGAGCTCTGATTTGCTTGATATATAGGTCCATTTGTTTGTTGTACTGTTTTTCTTTTGTTTCCATTTGAGGAGATGCAACCATTAAAGATATTAATTGTAACTTCAGTTGCATGTATTTATTTTTATTTATTTAAGATTTAAATCTGAATTTAACATTGGCATTTGAGCCAACTTTTGTTTCTGTAATATTGAAAAGGGGAGATTGTTATTAGCTGAACGAGGCAAAACACATAGGTAACTATTAGACAAATTAATTGTCTTGAAGCTATTTTTTATCTTTCATTTTCCCTTTGGGGAGGATATCTTTTTGCTTCCAGAAATCAGCCATATTTCCAAATTCATCTATTTCTATACATATGCAAAACCATATTGCTCCATTCGTCAAAGCCAAGAGAACTCTAAATTCACACTTTTCTGAAGCAAGTGTATCTATATTTTTGTTCATCCCAAACCAAATGAGGACAGAAATACAGCTACATTCCAAAAGTATATCAGTGTTTGGGATGGTCAAATGTTCTTTCAGTCTTCCAGTTTGGCTGAGATTTGATAACATGCTAGCCAACAATTTTGGCAGCATTAAATGCCCATGTGCACCAGAAAGGTCATTCCTTTCTATTAATATAAAGATAGATTTATATGATCATTAAAAAAACCTTCTTGAGAGCCAGTTTGGTATAATGGTTAAGGCATCATGCTAGAAACTTTTAAGACTGTGAATTCTATCCCACCTTGGACACAAAGCCAGCTGGGCGCCCTCAGGCCAGTCACTTTCCCTAGCCTTATGAAGGAGGCAATGGTAAACCACTTCTGAAAAAAACCTTGCCAAGAAAACTGAAGGGACGTGTCCAGACAGTCTCTGAGAATTGGATACAATTGAACAGAATGAAAAAAACACATTTTAACCTTCAGTACCCGCAATCCTTATGGAGAAAAAAAAAGTAAGATGATTGTAGCTTGTATCACATTTGTAAAATAAAATTGTTTTTTTTTTCATTCTTTAGATTTTGTATCAATTCAGGAAGATGGGAAGGAAAACTGATGTACCCCCAAAAATGATTTCACAAATTAAGTCATTTACTGAATGTGTTTAATTTTAACAACCAAAAAATTCTAACAGACTAACAATGCACATAAGTTAAAATTTAATTATCACTTAGTGATAACAAAGATCAAGTTGATTTACATGGAAAAAGAACATTTACAATATGGTAATCCTCATTCACATTGTTGATACCGCAATAACACCATTTTTTTAGTTTTCTCTTACTTCACGAAAAGGCGGAAAATTGTGCTTTGTTAAGAGGCACTACAAGAAAAAATTCTTTTTCCAAATAGATATAATATGATGAATATTGAATAAATAGACATATATGCATTGTAATTCGCTAAAGTTCTGGCAAGACCACAGGCGAAAATGCCCACAGATTCACTTAAAAGAATCACTGCAAAATTGACAGTGAAATTTAAAATAAAAAGGCAAGATTCAGCATTGAAAAAAATACCTACTAAATTTTTGGTTGAAATGTTGTTGTTTTTTTTTAAAAAACCAATGCTGATGCCATCAAAGAGATGAATAACCTTATGAGAGATTGACCAATATTACATTTATGTACTGATTTCAACAACAGTATTTCAGAGAAGAATCTGAAAAGTTAATTTGAAGGAGAACATAAACCAGTGCCTTCTGAAATGTTGATTAAAGCTGCAGCATACTACAGAAATAAAGTATGAAGAGTCAGCAAGCCAACATTTTTTAAGGATATAGAAAATGGACACAGCTACAGATTTGTTGATGTCAAATACTGATTTTGGAGAAGCCCCTTTAAAAAACTTTAGAGGTTACTGAGCAGCTAAAATTAGCTTGTATTGCAACACATCATCTCCCTGTTAGGTTGTTAATGCTTTGAGTAATATTTATACAGAGGTTTGCTTTAATGACTGCCTTTTATACCTTTCAAATATATAAATAGTATTAACAGTTATATATTACAACGCCTGTGCAAGAACATAAAATAGATTTCCAAGTGATATTGCATGAGGTCTTTGTTAAAAGTTACAAAGCACATGTCAAGAAAGAAATTAGAAGTGGGCAAAGCAACTTAGACTCATTAGAAAGTCATACTACCCTTTCAAAAAATATCATGTGGACAAGGAACTGAACACTGCTTGTTTCAGAACCATGGCTTCAAAAATTGGTTGGAAACTATAGTAGATTGCAGCTTTAATGCTTATACTATTGAAGAGTCAGTCAGCATTAGTTCTGCTTTATGTAATGGAATTGCTATGCTAGGTCACTGGGAAAAGGTTTCCGTTAGTGTCAAGGAAGTGACTAAACAGAAACTGCTTGACTTTTTCCCACTGCCTAGAAGTGCAGCAAGTTTAGAACATTTGTTCCCACAAACTTTGCCATGCATTACATGAAAAATATACCTTGGGAGACTGCTGGCTGAAAGTTTTGTCTTACTGAGATCATGAGCCTTATGCACAAAGCTCCAAATGTAGTACAGGAATAATAAAACGCAAACAAAAGAGGTACAAAAGGAAATTCAGCACTGGAGAACTGTCAGACTCTTTGACTGACTAACATGTCAAACATGCCCGAAATAACTGTGATTCGTTGTTGTTTTTTAAATCATTCATAAAACCTTTGTTGAAAAGCAACATCAACATACCTAAACAACAATTTTCCTAACATCAATATCAGACAAAAACTAAAGGAGCAAGGGAGGAACTGCAGCTGCACAAGTCTCACTGAAATTAATAAAAAGTGGTGCAACAACAGTGTAGATGATTTGCGCATTCGAAAAACAATACCACTATAAACTGTGGCTCAATATAAAAATCCACACAATAAATCTTGTAAAGCAACTGCTCATGAAGACCTCATTAAGAGACAAGTCTACTGTGCACCGAACTTTCACTGAAAAGTCCATGAAAATCCATCTGTTTGCTACAGAAATAATATAGAACAAAACATGCTCTGTGAATTTAAATGTGCATTGTGTACTAAAGTTTGTTTAGAAGTTACTTGGCTTAAAATTATTTTTAAGGTGCCCTGATTTTGTCCCTCATCTTCTCACTCCCTGTTTTATTATTTCTGGCAGTGTTGATTTAGGATTTTTAAAATGCATACCTCAAAAAATTACCCCTCAAGCTGCCAAAGTGGAAGCCATACTAATAATTTAAAAAATCAGGGATAAACATAGAAAATAAATAGATATTCAAAACAGTAACCACACCCTGAGAGCAGGCAGCAATTTATCTAAAAGCCAAAGCGACTGATTGTGAAGTGGTTTATATAAACAAGACTCATCTTTTAACGAGCTGATTTCACAGTCTATACTTTCTGATTGTAAAGTTTACTTACATCCCATGCAAATTTCATATATAATATATATATATATATATATATATATATATATATATATATATATATATATATATATATATATATATATATCACACTTATATATGGTGCATATTATATACACACCACACATCTGCACACTGTTATTGTTTCCTTCATTGATCTCATAAGTTGTTTCTTCCTGTAACTTGCTTGCTAGAGGGTCCTTTTGTAAGTGCAAGATTAATAATGATGTAATCCTATGTGAATTACAATTAACTGTCTCAATAAAACATAAAAAGTGTAACACTCAAGTGCCTGTTACAAGGGAATGTCTGATTGAGCTATGCAAAATAATTGTTCAATTTGCACGTATTCTATGCACGCTGGAAAATTCCAACTTTTTTTTCTGAAAGAAGCAAAATAAAAATAAAAAATTGGAACCATGTATTGCTTTGCCTGTGATATTTTCACATTATCTCTGCTCAGTCTCTGAAGTAGTTGCTTTGTTTTTTTCTGAATTCTCTTCTTCAGTTTCCACTTTGTACATTTCCTCAGAACCCTCCTCACTGTCATTCTCCTCTGACTCAGTCAGCAGCTCTTCATCTTTATATTCTGCCACATCCACCACTGTACCCAAATGCTCTTTTAGTTTCCCATGATGCTTTACATGGTAACGCTGGTTCTGGAAGAATTTGATGATGGTGTGCTTAGGCAGATCCAACTGGGCAGATAAAGTGTGGATGGCCTCCTGGTCTGGATAAAGGCCAACATCATGGATGAAACTCTGAAGGATACCCAAAGCCTCTAATGAAATCTTAGTACGGGATCTTGGCTTTTTTGTAGATGCATCCTCTGCAGGAGGGGGCGGAGCCTCTTCTCTTGGTGGAGAGTTTTCCTTTGCTGGCTGAGATTGCTGTCTATGAAGTACCTGCAAAACAGACAGATTTATATATTTAATAAAAGTTATGTTCACACAAATCTAGCTCATTGTTAATCAAATTGGTATCTCTGCATTTATCCATGGTAGTCAAATAGTTATATGTTAAAAAGAGCTCATTTTATTGGTTCCACACATAGGCTCATATGAGCAGAGAGAATTGAAAGAAATTTGCTAGGCTGAAGCAATGAAGACTTACTATTTCTGATTTACAGCTTAAGTATATTCACTAAAAAACATGGGATAAGCGAAAAGAAGCCTTGAGTCGGAAGAAAAAGCATATTCAAAGAATAAGGAATTATCTCTGCTCTGCCTCGTCAGAGGATGATGAGTTCCATAATGTTTTTTTTAAAATTAAATCTAAAGATAAATTTTGGTTCTAGATATGGATCTTTGGCATTGAGCTTAAAATCATAGGATTGTTTTGCTGTTGAATCATTTATATGTACCATTAATGGTATAAGACCTATAACACATTATTTGCTTTCATTTCTTTCCTTTTAATACTCAGACATGGTTTAGGTGTATATGAATAAATGTAAAAAAGAGCTGTGCTGAATCAGAGAAAATGCCCATCTGTTCCAGAATTCTATTCGTGCAACAGTTCCAATTTACAGAAAGCCCTCAAGCAAGATATAAGCAACCAGTATCCAGAAACAAACTGTCTCTGATCCTGGAGGTAATCAGGCTGACATGTTAGGAACATTCTAACTGCAGCATTCTATGATTTCTTTTTAATTCAGTTGTTTACCAGGTAGATGGTGAAATTGTTGAATTGTACAGAATTTCTTTTCATTACTTTTCACATTTTTCTTCTGCAACACTTTAATTCACAAAGCAAATTATGACAATATTTGCAGTGATAACAAATGCAGAAAACAGGAAAAATATGTTTTATAGAGCTTATGATCTATTATGTCAAGCAATACGCCAGTAATAAAACTAGAATAAAATGTCACAACTGGAAATAAATGTTCCAGAAGTTTTGCACCTTCACTTTTCACCAATGTGTGGTCCAGTGATATATTACACAGAAAGGGAGGGAGTCAGGAAAGAAGGCAGACAAGCAAGCAGGAAGGCAGATTTCAATTCTAAAATTAAGTTGTTGCTACAAGGCAGGTCCTACACTCTTCAATTTTAAGGGTAACATAATAAGTATATTACAATTCTTTTATTTAAAAATGGACATTGACGTCATATGCTAAAATTAATTGGCTCAGAAAAATTATGTTGTTATATATTATAGTAATGAGTTAAATAAGTAATAAAAAGACTAAATAGGAGCCTATTTTCAAAACAACAACACTTGTTATGAGATCTATTAGTTTAATAGTGGATAATCAGCTTACTCTTTTAAAGGCAGTCTCCTAAAATCAATCGAATTTTTCAAAATCATAGGGTAACAAAGCAGCACTGATCTTAATCATCAGCTGGAAAAAAGGCATCTATTTCAAGATGGATCATCACCTCATTGTACAAAGAAGTGTATACATGTGTTAATTATCTTACTGTTATGCTATGTATAGGATGTATAAGCCACTTTTAAAGATTAGTGTTTTTTTCCAGAGTTGCTTACCCTCTGGTATGAAACAGCCCTGACAGTATGGCAAATAAAAGTAACCTATCTTTGTAAAATCCAATAGTAGACATGCACTTTGACATCAATAGTGGCAAAAACTACTTGTAGGTCATGTAATGAAATTTGGGACTTTTAGAGACTTCTTTTAGGATAGGTGTTCTGCTCTCAGGCAGAACTTGCTGGGATAGCCTGGCATCTATAATCTTCTTTCCGAAGGCCTCAATAGGGCATACTTATTTTTCAAATGACTGCACTTACTTAAGATGTTTCCTCCCCCCCCATTTTTATTCAACTATATTTAAAGACCAAGTTAAGTGAAAATACTTCAACTTCAAGTAAAGCATGACTATCAATTATCTGTACTTTTCACTATATTTGACTGGTAGAAACCCACATCTCAATAAAGTTATGCACATCTACAGATGACAGTTCAGCCTATCACAGTTATTGATGTTAAGAAAGAACATCAGAACTGATTATCAATTGTTGCCTTAGGGCTATATTGGAAGTGAAAATCGATAATGTATTTGATGACTTATACTGAAACTTTATATTCTAAGCCAGAGATGTCAAATTTGCAACGTCACGTGACGTCATGCAACGTATCAGAGCTTTTCCCCTATTGCCGGCAATGGGGTGGGCGCGGTTTCCTGGTGACGTATCCAGCCCACGGGCCGGCAGTTTGACACCCCTGCTCTAAGCAGTAGGACTAATAATTTGACATAAAATTATTTATTTAAGCATGTTAGGTTTCTCCCACCCCCATTTTGTAGATTGTTAATTTCAAGCCCCCACTCTCCCTGTTAAAAGAGAAGAAATATATATTAACATAATGCTATGGGGAAAAATGAGGGTTCAACTACCCATTCTGCCTCACAGACTGAAAAATCTGCCTTCCTCTTTTGGTATCAGTTACTTGTTTTTGGTGGCTTGTATTAAATCAGAGTTACCAATTATTCTGAACTTCAGCATTGTTATCAAGGAAAATAAGTCAAATTTCTTACAGCATGTATAAACAAGAAGCAAAAGTGACAGTTGTATCTGAGCCGAATCTTGCATCCACTACAAGTTGTCATTGATTGAGTATAAACAGCAAAGCCCAAAAGGATTGTATAAAAGCGGACTGTAACTTAAATACAATGTATTGTTTATAAATAGGTCAACTCTCTTCATTTATTTTTAAGTAATTTAGGATTATAATTCAAACATGGCTTTGATTTTAAGCTTTCTACTTTCACTCCTCCCTCTACCCCTTCATTAAGCACATGAGTTTTCTCTGCAATTGTGACCATCTGGAATTGACTTCCTATTTTTTCCTCAAATCATTTCCCATCTCCTTGCAAATCTGAACTGAAACATGTTTTCTACCCTAGCCACAGGTCTCAAATGTTTCTGTTTCCTTAATGCATTTCCACTTTAATGTTAAGGCAATACTACATACATACTTGTACACAAATGACAAAGGACAAAACTGTTTTCTTTATTAAAAATTGACTTTTCTTAGGTATTAATTTTCACTTTTTGAGGTATTAACTTATTCAGTAGAAAATGTACAGATACCTAATATGATGAAAACTGACTTTAAAAAGATAAGTGACTTCTATTAAATCTGCAATATGTTTTGAAGGCCACAATGAAATCCAGCTGGGAACCATGTGTAAAAAATAACAGTACACGCCTGCAGGGAAGGAAGTATGATATGGAATGATTACATTTAGGAAAACATATAATGTTGTATATCATTATGGGAATGATCTGTATTAGTTGTAATAAACTACGGCAGTGGTTTCAAACTATATTCCTGGAAAATCTGTAGTTCCTGGTAAAGATATTTCAACTTCCTCAGTGAGAAGATTGGCAAATGGTTGGAGTCATTGCCATTTATTTATCCACAATAACTGATTTTTCTCTGCTATGACAGCTAATAAAAATATTTACTACAGAGTTGATATTAGCACAGCATAGTCTCTGCTTCCACTCTTTTAATTAATAAAATCTTTCCTGCAATATAATTGTTAGTAATGGCACAGTGTATGTAACCAAAATTTTACCAACTCACACTGTGTAAGTGTGTGTGTGTGTGTGTGTGTGTGAGAGAGAGAGAGAGAGAGAGACAGCGAGAGAGACAGTGAGAGAGAGAGAAAGAGGGGGGGGGAGAGAGATGATGTGTACATCATCAAATCTCAACATTCTTTGCTTTACAATATGGTTGCTTATTTCCTTTTTAAAGAGAATTTGTACTGTAATGTTCAAATGTTAAGTTCTCATATATCTTTATAAATACAAAACTTATTAGGTGTGTTCATGTTAATGCCTGTAACTTCTGTAACTATTATCTGTAAGTATTACATGAAAGCTACTTGACTTGATCACAACTTTCATATTTCCATTTGGTGATGTATGTTTAGGCTTCCTATAGACACTATGAATCATTTATGAAGCAAGTCCCACTCTCATGGGATGTACTGAAGTCAGTCAGTATTTAGCCAAACTTGTTAATAAGGGATACTACAAATATGCAGTGAGAAATTTCCAGAACTAAAGGCAGTTACTTAATAGATTAGATGGGAGAAAAGGAAACTTTTTAAAAAGTGTTGCCTGTGTTAAGACTGAAAATTTTAGCTTTGCTTCTAAGACGTAATGTCAGCATATTGCTACCAAATTTTGAAGGTAGAGGAAATTATTGATTTTTTCAATAAGCATAGTCCTCAATTACAAAAAAAGTTGAAAGTTACTTGATCTTTTTTTGAATGACTTTTACTTGAGGTTTCTTTTCTCAAGACTTTCGGGGTGAATGAAATGGTAACTGGAATGAAGGTGAAATGAAGGTCTACTTTGTGTGGCTGCCCCAGCTACAGAATGATTTTCATAAGAGGAATAGAATTCTTTCAGAAACATACGGCTTACTGGTTAATGTTATTTTTGCTATATTTATTAATGAAGCTGTTGATTTTAATCTTTTGTTAAAAGCTTTTGGACACCCTTGAAAATTCTGAGTGACAACAGCACTAGTTGAAAATAAATCATGATAGCATACAATAAAGCTGTAGTGAGTGAGGAAAACCTTTTGTGTGAAGTGGATTTTACAAAAAAATGGAACCAGTATGTACATACCGGTACAACCATACATCCAGTTTTTCCTATAATTCATAGTGGGCATGCTCTAGATTGTTTGTTTTATCTTACTGCGATTTTACAATTGCTTTAACATTTGACTGCTAAATCAGATTGAAATGTATTATGAAAAAGTATATGAATGTTTTAAATAGAAAAATGAATAAGAGAAGATCTTTTAAATGCTGCCATTCCCAACTTTTCCTTAATGCTAAGGAAGGCTTTGCAGCTTATATATATTCTCAAAACAAAAGGTTGCAAGCTCTGTAAACATACCTTTGGAGAACTGTAGCATGAC